AGTTGCGGTGGCAGGAGAACCTGGGTTTGGGGTTTTGAAATCAAAATTTGGGTAAAGGTGATGAGGGACGAGTCATGAGTTGGACAGCACAAAGGGTGGAATAGAAAACAAAAAGGATCGACTTTTTTTGGGAAATGACTAGAAGCTCATTGGTTAATTAAGTTCGTATAAAAGGCTCATTCTTCAACTCTACAGGCAACATTTACCTGGGGAGCCAAAGGCAATGGAAAAAATTCATCTTTTATTTTTTTATTGTTGATGATATTGCTTTATTTTAGATTTTTTTTTATTGTTTATAGTGAAATTTTTTCTTGATATATTTATTTTTGTAAAAATTGAATATTGTATGATAATTGAAAATTTCAACAAAAAATGAAGAACATAAAGATATATTGATTAATGGAGGTCATTGTTCCTTTTTTTTATCTAATTTGTTTGTCTTGATGTAATTTAAATAATACTTTAAAAGACTAAAATTAATAACTTTAATTTTATTAAATTTAAATAATAATTAGAAAAATATTCAATTTAATAAAAAAATCAATTTTAAATACATAGTATTTTATTATATCCAAACAATATATTTAAAAATACATGTATTTAAAATTTATTTGTTTATTTAATTCAAACAAAGTATTTTAAAATACACATTTCAAATACAAATATATGTTTCCAAATACAACTTGAATGAAATATCATTTTACTGAAAGATTGAGAAGTAAAAATTATGTATAGGTAGTGAATTTTAACAATTACTGCCCATACATAATTATATGTATTTCATTTACTACCATCATCTTGCAAAAAATTTATATTATATTATATATTTTAATATTTATTAGTTTAAATCTTAAACATTATATGTATTTAATTAAATTTATTATTTTAAATGACTTAAATGATGATTTTCAAATTGATCAAATGATGATTATTTCTTAAAAATAGAATAAAAATAATATACAATAATAAAATCTAATAAATAATTAAATATGTAAAAAAAAAGTTTTTTTAGTTAATCAATTGGGTCAATCAGGTGAGTCGGTTCAACCAAACTCAATGATCAAAACGGATCAACCACGGGGCCGGTCCCAAAAATATTGCATGGGCAACCTAACGACATCTATCCTGCCGTTAGAATTCTCAAAATTTCAACGGTAATATAACATTGTTGGTCCCTTAACATTCATTTTCTTTGCTCTTTGATCCTCAAACTTTAGATTTATTTATTTTATCCTTGATTTCAATTTTTCTTATTAGAATTTTGTCTCAAAATTTTGAAAAAGTTTCACTTGAGTCCTAGAATTCTAATTTCATGCATTCTAATTCCTTTTTCATAAATAATAAATTTTGTGTAATTTCTAATAAAATTGCATTTAACTCATTCAATTCAATAAAATCAAGTATAAAGTAGTAAATTCAAAAACATTAAAATTCACATCATTAATGTACAAAATCAAATCTTTGATATCCAATTGTTATAAAAAAATAGCTTTGATGCCTAATTTGAAATCCTATAAAGTGTAATTACTAAAATGATTTATAAAGAATGTGGATATGACTTTTGAATGTTGTGAACATCATAAACTGATAATAACTATGGGTACCATTTTTATAGTTATAAGTGCATAACAAGGAAAATAAGGCACGGATCTCCTTTTAAACTTTTTTTTTTTTTTGTGTTATGTGCATGTAAAGAGCTAAGTGTTAATTCTTTATTCTTAAAGATTTCAAATTAGGTATCAAGGACTTGATTTTTTGCTTTAATTAAATGAATTTGATAGATTTTAGTTTACTAATTTAATTTAATTTTAATTTTAATTTTAATTTTATTAATATTTAAATAAATTAAATGTAATTTTATTAGATTTTACATAATTTTTATTATTTGTATAAAAAATAACTAGAATACATGAAATTAAAAAATTGATACTAAGTGTAATTATTTAAAAAGTTTAAGGACTAAAGTGTAATAGAAAAAGTTAAAATTAGGGACTAATAAGGATTAAAGTGCACGTAAACTAAAAGTTTGGGGACCAATATGTCATTTCACCATTAAATTTTGGAAGATTTTACCGACGAATAAACGGCGTTATGACGAACGGATGATGCTTGCCCTTTTTCAAAAGTTGAGGCATTTTAATGAATTTTTTTAAAGTATAAGGATGCAGTGGTTCCTTTTTGCAAAGTTGAGATATTTTTAGTGACACTCGCCAACTTTTATATATGTATATATATACATATATCAAATTCCATATAAACTGCACTTTTTCTCTACCAGGACAAGTTCTAGCACGGTTGTCTATACTTGAGTGGATAATGATCGACTTTTAGATCTGAGCTTATCTTGTGGGGACTCTATCTCCGGGCACAACTAAATGGGAAGGCACTTCAGCAGAAATCAACCACTACTATTTTTCTCATAAATCTCATTGGAGCAAGACTTGGAGATCACAAAAGATCACATTCTTCTTTTTATCCTTCCGTATCTTGAAATAAATTAAAACAAATGGAGAGATTAACCCTCTACGGCATTTGGGTGTATTTCATATCCCTCACTCAAATTTCATTGTAGACAAATGTTGAAGGTTTAGTATCATATGTATGTTTTACACGTCATTTTAAATTTAAAAAACACAATTAATCATATAATTTGAGTATAAATCTATTTATATATAAATTTTATATTTTATATTTATATAAAATTTTAATTATTTTTTTCATTTCAATAATTAAAATTTATTTATATTTATTAAAAATTATTATTTTTATTTAAAAAATTATAATAAATTTTAATTATTAAAAATAAAAAATAAAAAATAAAAATTTTATATAAATTTATATATAAATATACCTCTTCTCTAAAACTTTTGTTTTATTTTTATCACATCTTTATGATATGAAATAATCACGCCCCACATGTGGACTATGAAATCCGTACACAAAGTTTGATTATTACTTCAAGTGGTACCCCTTGCAGGTTGCACCTATAAATATCCGTGACAAACGGGCCAAAAAAAAACGTGGAAAGCATTAATATTTGTTCCTTGTTGATTAGTACCGTCGGCGGGCATATTTTTCTGTCGGTTTAATGCTTGAATGTCTGTATGTAATATTTATAATTGCTCCAACGAAACTTAAGTAATTAAATAATTTAATGATAAATTTTTTTGTTAATAATAAAATATTTTAAATTTTGAATTACATGACATACGAATAAAATAAAACAAAAAATAAAAAATGATTATCTTTTATTATGCAACCAAAATAGGCAACCAAAATAAAAATCTATATATTTATGGTTGTAAATTTTTATTTAAGATATTAATTGGTACATATTCTATTTTAATATATTATATAATATATTTATAAAAAAATTATTATTTTTAATTAAATATTAAAATTAGATAAATTTAAAAATATAATAATATATATAAAATAATAATTGACTGATTAATTATATTAATATTATATTTTAATAATTAAATTAAAACATATATTAAAAAATATATTAAATCAAATATAGGCTAATAATTTTTTTTATTTATGAGGTAAGGTATCTTTTATATATGATATGCAGGTTATAAAGTAAATTATATATTTTAAAATTATTGATAAAATAAATAATTATTTTTATATTACAAAACATGCATTTTATTAATAATTATAATATATAATCTATGCGATGCGGGACTGTACCTTTTTTTTTGTTTTATATATGCATTGGATCGACATTAATTATGACTTGTTTTTAAATAAAAAATTCTCAATTTCACTAAAAAATATATGTTGAGAAAAAAAAAATTAAAATGTGTCAACTAATCGCACCTGAGACCAAAACAACAAAACTGAACATTTTTGGAAGGTAGGAAAACGTCTTCATCCCATGCTCAGAATCAGATCACATCTGCCCATATCTACACAAGGGCATCTTTTGTGTTGTTTTGTGGGAAGTGGAAGCCACTTATCAAAATTATCTTTCTCAATTCGGTACATAAAAGATAACATAAATGCGTTGCTGCTTGTGCTGGTGCTCATCCCATGTATCCACTCTCACGTATCCTCTTCCCCTTTATTCAAAAAAAGGAAAAAAAA